GTATCCATGGGTGCCCTCCATACCAACACTTTCCAAGGAATTTATTATTTGACAACATAAAGTAAATTCATTTTTCCATTTCGGGACTGGGCATCCCTAATACCTTTGCCTTACTCTCGTGCAATGACAAGTGAATAAGCACTCATCGTGAGAATAACACATCTAGCAAGGAAAATACTAGCCACCCCTCACCGCTCCACGAGTGAAACAAACACACAAAAGAGAAGTTTATTTTGAAAATTAGAGATGGCACATGCAAATTTGCTTAGAATGACAAAAGAATATCACATATAGGTAGATATAGTGGACTCATGTGGAAAAACTGGGTTAAAGGTTTTTGGATGCACAAGTAGTGATCGTACTTAGTGCAAAATGATGGCTAGCAAAAGATTGGGAAGCGACCAACCAAGAAACGAATAATCTCATAAGAGAGCATTAAGCATAACTAACACCGAATAATGCACCACAAGTAGGATATAATTTCATTGCATAACTATTGACTTTCATGCTTGCATAGGGAATCACAAACCTTAACACCAATATTCTTACTAAAGCATAATTACTCATCAAGATGACTCACATATCACATCATCATATCTCAAAACTATTACTAAGAATCAAGTTTATTTTGTCCAATGATCTTCATGAATTTTTTTTATATCCTCCTTGGATATCTATCACTTTGGGACTAATTTTCATATGTTGCTTTTGACAAGCTCAAACAAATCTAAGTGAAGATCATGAGCATAATATTTCTTTCTCTCAAATTAATTTAAGTGAAGCAAGAGAGAATTTCTTGAAAATTTTGCTAACTCTCAAATAGATCTAAGTGAAGCAAGAGAGCATTTCTTCAAAAATACTAAGCACACTGTGCTCAAAAAGATATAAGTGAAGCACTAGAGCAAGTCCATTGCTCATAAAAATTTAACTGAAGCATAGAGAGCAATTCTAACAAGTCATGACATAATTTTGGCTCTCTCAAATAGGTGTGTATGGAAAGGGATCAAGACTTAAAGCACAAAATAAAAAAAGCAAAGACTTATATCATACAAGACGCTCCAAGAAAAACACATAGTATGTGATGAATAAAAATATAGTTTCGAGTAAAATACCGATGGTCGTTAGAAGAAAGAGGGATGCCAATCGGGGGCATCCCCAAGCTTAGTTGGTTGCTCATTTTTGGATAATAGCTTGGGATGCCGGGGCATACCCAAGCTTAGGCTCTTCTACTCCTTTTTCCTTCGACCATTGTAAGATAACCCAAAACTTGAAAACTTCAATCACACAAAACTAATCAAAACCTTTGTGAGATCCGTTAGTATAAGAATAATAAATCACTACTATAAGTGTTGTATCAAACCAATTCATATTTTGTTCTTGTATTATATCTACTGTATTCCACCTTTTCTATGGCAAAAACTCATGAAAGAAAACCATAGAGCCATCAAAATAAGCACACAACACAAAGAAAACAGAATGTGTCAAAACAGAACAGTCTGTAGCAATCTGATTATTTAGAATACTTCTGTAACTCGGAAAATTCTGAAAAATTAGGACGACCTGAGGAATTTGTATATTGATCTACTGCAATTGGAATGCGTATGTTATAGCTATCTAGTAAAAAATGAAAATTATTTTCGTGAGCATAAATGTAGCGACCCAATCCCAATGGACCGTAGTCTCTGTGCTTAAGTGTCACCCCTGGATCGGTATTGCTGACACACACAGTACTCGAGGATTTATTGCAGAGTTCAATGACACACTTATTACATGAGTATCTCAAAAAGAGTACTTATTACAATAATATGGCTGAAGGCCATCTAAATAAGATAACCGCGGAAGCATCAAAGATAAATGAGTCCAACCAACTCCACGGCAATACTGAGTGCATGACAACGACCTATCACACCTAAATCTTTGTCTGAAAATTCTGCAACATGATACGTTGCAGCCGTGTAGGTCAGCACATGGAATATGCTGGCAAGATAACACTATAGAGCAATGAACAAAATAATAACTATCACTACATGCATATTTGGCTGGTGGAGGCTCCATGGTTATCATTTGCATAAAGCTAATTTTTCCCTACAACAAAGGAATATATTTTATTTAGCTACAAATTTTATGCCATTATTGAGAAGGTTCCTCCAACTCAATCCCAAAATAATAATTATAACCCAACAATTTCATTAAGCAAAGTGATGAGATCAAATCAATAATTCAAGTACCAGATACTCAAGATGTCCATAATCGGGGACACGGCTAACCATGATTAGTTTATACACTCTACAGAGGTTTGCGCACTTTTACCCACAAGACTCGATCTCCTCCGTTAGATTTCTCGCACTACATGATGTTTGAGAAACGGATGACCGAGACATAGTCTTTCAGAAGCATTAACTCTTTACTCTGGGTAGACAGTACCACCTACATCCCCTACATCTGCTAGCCTACCACTGAAAGAGGTCACACAACTTACTCAACTATGCCAGAGCCCATAATGGCTTGTGGCTTCACACGGAAGTTTCTAGCATGAATAATCTTATGATCCCTTTGAGCCTGGATGGCAAACCATAGGATGATCACACGGGTACTCCGGGATATTCTAGGACAACACTGGATTGCTCCAGGTGCCCGCAACCAGTCCACCCAGATGTGTATTAATGTAGTCACCTTAAGTTTCCCTTAGTTATAACTAACTCTCACATCTTTCATGAAACTCACATACCAATCCACGTCTACGAGCATAGCAAAGTAGTGCAATCATAACGCGGTAATACGCGGGGTTTAATATAAGACAATAGGTTCCTACCTCATCAACTACTTCCCAATACCCACATGTTATCAAATCCTACTCATGCAATGTTTGAGGGTTGAAACTAATGCATAAAAATTGGGTAATAAAGGGATATGATCAAAGTGTTACTTGCCTTGTTGACGATCAGAAAACCCTAGAGATTCGTAGTAGCAAGCCTCGCACTCCGGAAAGTCTATCATGAACAAACAATAGCATACATAAGCACTCAAGCATAAGATGCAAAGGTAAAACCAAAATAAAAGATCTAAACTGAAAGTTCAAGTGAAGAGCTTCGATTTGCAAAAATAATCAATCGAATCAGAGTTACGAAACTCAAACTACGATAACAAAAGTTCAAATTCAAATCTGCTTGAAACCAAATTTTAAATTTCCAAAATCATGTTCAAGTTGTTAATCTGGACAGAGGGGAACAAGACGAAGATTTTGGCATTGGTTTCACTAGATTTGGATAAACGAGCAAAAAGTAGTGAGGGTTTGAAGATCAGGGACTAATCTGCGATGAAAATAATTACAAATGGGTCCCTGGCCGAAGATTAAACTAAAAAGAAAAATCTAACGAATGAACGTTCGCTAACAGAAGCTAACGAATGAATTCGTCCGTTAACTAAACGAATCGGGTGAACGCTCGCTATTTAACGAAACCTAAAATAATAAACTGAAAAAAAAAACAAAACCGATCTTTAATTAAAGGCCAGGTCTTATCGGTTTATACCGGTTCGGGGAATGGAAACCGGCGGCGGCGGTGCGGTGCTCCGGCGAGGCGGCGGCAGCGGCGTTGGGTGGCGGCAGGGCTTCGCGACGCGGGGAGGCAG